AAAATCCCCGGGAAGGGGGAACTCGAATAGGAACACTGAGGTTAAAATGGAGCGACGAGGCCAGGCCGCCAGTCGGGAAGCCTATGTCCTCAAGCCACAGACATGGGGAGATTGGACGCTGGGCGGGCCTCTGGGCGTCCGTCTTCCAATGCTGAGCCCCGAGCTTCCGGAGCACCGGGTATAAATAATATGGTGAATCCAGAGCCAAGTGTACGTGATAATGAAAAGAAACACAAAAAGGGTCGGAGCTCCCTCTAGAGGAGGGATGGCAATCGCGACGTCTGAATGATTGTGATTTTTCTTTCTGCTTGATGTTGCCCCACTGCAGTAGTGCAGAATAATTGGCTTTGGCCTTCATTGTTTTTTCAAGGTTCCGAAGGGCTTCAGGTAATAGTTTCTTAAATCTGTACGATTCCTGTCTAATGTATTTACTTACGATTACCAAAGGATTAGGAAGAAGTCCAATTTTTTATTTTTACTGCAGAACAGCCAAAAGCTACAATTTAATTGATATAGTTAAGGTAGCTACCGTACTTTGTCATCCTATAGTAATAAAATACTCCTCACATTGGTGTTTTTTTCTTTCTGCAGTGATTTACTGACCTTTTAAAGCATATATGTTCATTTCTATTACTGACCTTTGGCAAAAATGTACAAAGAGCACTTACAAAATGGGCCTTAATAGCTATTATTATACGATCGCACCCTCAGGCAAACAGAATGTTAGGTTATATATATAAAAGTGTAGAATTTAAATCAAGGGATGTTATACAGTATTAACATTGTACAATGGACTACTGAGACCTAATTTAACATTCTGTGTACAATGTGTGTCATTAAATTACAAAAATAATTTTCAGTTCAGAGATGAGCACAAAGATGCATTTCAGTACTTAAGGGGATGCCGTAAAATTACAGACCGAAAGAGCTGAACTTCTTTGTCTGCAACAGAGAAAACTATGAGGGGACCTGATCCAAATAGTCAGATTCTCAGTCAACCCTGAGAGCGTCTTTCATAACCATTGTTAAATAAAACTAGACGACACAAGTCGAAAATATACGGAAGTGTGTTGAGAACGGGAGGTACAAAGGGTTGTGGGATTATTGCGCGGATCACTTTCTAGATACAGCTGGATGAGAACCTTGGATCTGTTAACAACTAACTGCCAAATGGGCTAGATGGGTAGTTTCTAACATTCCTTATGTTCATATCGTCCTAATTTTTTTTTTACTTTAGGTATGCTATACTGTATTTGCATGGGGCTGTGTTATAACACACACAAAAAAAAACACCCTATTGACTTTGTCCTCCAGCAGTCATTTTAAAAAGCAAAAAGGTAATTTCATTAGGAGTCTTTATTACACGTCTAAAACATTAATCACGGAAAGCATATTTCTAGTTCAGCTCTATAGCCATTGTGTGATACTTCATAAGTTGATCACTGATATTTAACCTCCAACCCCGGCCATTTAGAAAAACGCCCCTACTTAGTAGCACATTCCCTTTGCTTTTTTCCCAGCAACATTAACTGTTTCACAGTCATGAATTAAAGATTTAGTAATTGAAGCTCTACTAGTTTAAGGTTTAATGCAGCACATCAAATAGAAAAAGCTGACTGCTGAGTGTTGGTATAATTAAAGACCCAAGTGCCTGAATCTGCAGCTCAGTTTCTTCTGGCGGAGTCAATGGGATTGTCTCTGTCTTTAACAACTCAAGACAATATCAAACATGTTCTCTAAAGCTTTATTACAAGCTTAAACATTGTGGTTTTCCAACAAAATGAGATTTCATCATGAAAAAAAAATATTCATTCTTTTAACTTCCTGTTATCATCTCTAAAATCCACTAATTGGGTAACGGTCTAATTTTCTAAAGAAGAGCACAAACTGACCATTTTATTGTGACCCCCAAGATATATGCCAGGGTCTACATTGCAGCAGCTCTGCATACAGTGAAATGTTTAGGGATATCCAGTTCTCAGGAGAAAGGAATTGGAGGTAAGGAGTCACAGTGCTCTGTAATCAATATAGTTCCATCTCCAAATCACTAGAGACTCATCTGTGACCTAGTGTATCAATATTTAATTGATCCTGGACTATGGGTGTGAGTGTAGCTGAGCAATTAAGGAAGGAATCATGGTGCCAGAATAAAGATTTGGGTTGCAGTCTGCAGTCTCCACTATGGACAGCCTTGATCAATGTTACTGGCTTGAATCATGATATCAGCAGGTAAACATGAAATTTAACTTTGCTGTACAAGTGTAGGAAATTCATATTGGAATTTGTTTGCTTTTTATATGATACATTTACTTGCTTGCGTGATTAATGTATTGCAGTTAAGATATCTATTTTTTCCCCATTGAGTAAATGTGTCTATGCTAGATACTGTAATCATTTCAGAACAGACATACTGTAGCAGGTGAATGTACAGGTAAACACATTCACAAGCTAATTGTTAGCCTTTCTAGTGTCACCAAACTAAAATTATTTGTTAATCAGAATGTCTGCGTGGTGACAGTTTCACCCTGGAATGTAGTTATTTGCACATGCTCTCATTGCATTGATAGGTCCAATTCCTTCTGGTGTTTATATGCAACACCAGAAGGAGAAAAGAAAAAAAACAGTCTAAAACAATCCAAAAATGTTTGGAAATCTTGATATTCTCCAATACTGATGCACCATGTTAACTATGATTCTAATATAGGAGAAGGGGTTTATGGTATGTGAAGCCTAGCAGCATACTGCAATAATTCAACATAAAATATTGTGATTTGAAAGTGAAAACATTTCTGTGAGAATAGTTGCAGGCATCTGTTCTTCCGCAATGGAATCAAATTCATAAAAGAGCTTATATGTGGTTGAGCTGAGGGTTGCACCACTCTTTGGAGCTATGTGCCAGTATGGAAAATTAAAGGCAGTTAATAAAAAACAGTCCTAAATCAAGCACCATAAAATTTAATAGGGTTATAGCAGCCTTAACACAGTAGGACTGAATTATCATGTTAATTTAATTTCCATTCCCAAATGAACCAGAAGGCACAATAAAGGTCACTTAACCAACTACCTCCCCATCTTCATTTCATTTTTACTGCGTATTCTAAATCACAACTACGCAGGCAGGAGGACAAGCTTATTCATGGCAGAGTAAGGCCCACGGGAGTAGAGTCCAGGCACAGTGAGAGAGCGCAGCCTATCCATCCAGTCACTCATATCTGTCTATCAAGCCGTCCATCTATCAAGTCATCTGTTTGTTTTTTATTTTAAAGTTGCACTCAATCAATATCTTAATCAATCAATCACTTAATCAAGTGAATGCAGAGTTATGGAATGCTGGTGTTTATAAGAGCAATTACATAATTGATTTAAAAACAATTGATTGTTTGATTGTATTAAATTCTGTTAATTACACTTGAAAAAAAAACATGGCTTACAATTTTATCGTAGAGGATGTATCAATTATATACATATTTTATTAGGTAAAGCTTTTCCCAACAACAAAAACATGATTCTTTTCAGTTTCCTTTAGAGAAGCTATTGTGCATCTTTAGTGACACAGTAAGCAGTATGATTTTAAATTTCGAAATCTGCTTTTCTCTAGGATTTCTACATGGTGAAGTACTGTACTTACTACTACACATTTAACAGGTAAGCAAGAAAGAACAAGAATAAAAACTTTCAAATTGATCACATTAAAAAAACACACATCATCTCATTGCCAATACTACAAGCTGTCTTTACTACATCCTTTTGAGGCCTGATGTAAAATATGGAGAAGATAAGTATTCACATTAATGTGAAGCAGATCCATATTTAATACCACACGTCAGATAAAGGGTAGCAGAGTGGTTAGTGCTGTAGCTCAAGGGCCTTGGGTTCAAGTCTGGCCTTCGATGTCTTGTGTCCTTTTACAGTCCACCATTAAAAAACAATACCTGAAGTTCTAGGAAGTGTCTGGTTTATTTTGTCTGAATTGCTTCCAACGCAGCAACATATATTTTTTATAATGTGATGACCAAACGTGTACACAATATTCTAGATGAGGTCTAACTAGAGCACTGTACAACTTTAATGTCAACCTCTCTTGACTTAAACTCTGCAGTTTTAATCTATATGTCCTAACATTGCTGTTTTTATTATAACTTCTCCATGTTGTTGAGAAGCTTGTCACGATTATAGTTCCCCCTCCTTAAGGGTGCTCCAGCCCTTTCACTTGAGACTTTATTCTGCGCACCTGATTCCTATTCCCAGCCCACCTTAAAAGCCAGGCGCTGACGCTCATCCGGGCTCTGTATTTGATTTCCGTATCGTGCGAGTCCGGGACCTGGAAGCGCCTGGTCCCGGTAAGGTTTTAATCTGTTCCCGTTCCCCTGTCCGCCGGTTCCGGCCCGGCCTCTGGTTTTAATTCCGTGTTTTGATGGATCTCCTGGTTTTGGACTTACCCTTGTGTTTTGGATACTCTAAGGACTACTCTTTTGGATTGTTCGCCTCGGCCACACCTCCCCCGTGCACCAGCGCACCTTGGACACGCCCCCCTGTCTTCAGCCCCGTATTCCTGCATGACGTTTCCCCAGTGTTTCCTCACTTCTTTGGATTGTGTCGTCCGCATAGGGTCCGGAAAGAACTGTTCGTTACAAAGCTGCAAACAAACTTCCACATAAACTCTTAAATCTGTTTCATGACGTAGTTCTTAAAAACTCAGTGGTTCCAATATTCATTCACTTTCTGTCTTTGTGTCCTATGTCTTCACTTGTCTTCTTTAAATATCATCTGCCAGGTTGCCAAGTTTTAAACTTTGTCTTTTTGGATTTCTTCTGCTGCTTTCACAGTACTTGCTTATCTTATCTAGATGACTTGAGTAATTCCTGCAAGAGAAATCTTTTAAGCAAGACACTCCAAATCTGAGCACATGAAGAATGATATTTAGAAAGGTTTTGTCACAATTCTGTGAATAACACAGGTATACTAATGAACACAACAAAGATGATGAGGAGCAGTAGGTTTTCCAAATAAGGTTGGTTGGAAATGAAAGGTAAACAATCTCTACTCTGTTAACGTACTGCACATTGGTCTCTTACATTTGTTTGTGTCATTTTGACAAATAGTAGCTGAGAATAAGGTGTTGTGAGAAGGGTAATGATAAAATGATCTCCCATGTGGTGTCCTATGAGTTTCAGGAATGCTACTATAGCCATGTGCCACAAAATAATTAAGTGCGCATACTGCATATACTGCTGTGGATATAAACCACAAAAAGCAATGTTTTTTTCTTAGGGTAAGATGACAAATTGCTTTAGTAATAAACCAAGTTTTGATTTCCTATATCTAGGAACATAGTCACTTGTAAGAATGTCACTAATTAAAATCATTGCTCATTTGAACTTATTGATTTACCATAATCATGGTGCTACAGTATGTGGATCTGTGTTATTCCATTTGTGGAGAGGGGGTAAAATGGAGATTGGAGTTTTCTTAAGCGTTTAATAATAATAATAACAACATCAATTTATTAACCCTTTACAATTTCTCACATTAGGGATTATCTTTTCACATACCCCAGCTTGCTCTCCAGGAGACACACAGACAGGGAGAGAGCTTGGGGTCAGAGCGCAGGGTCTGCCATTGTACAGTGCCCCTGGAGCAGTTGGGGTTGATGGCCTTGCTCAGGGGCTAAATGGAGTAGGATTCCTCTGCCAGCTGCAGGATTTGAACCAGCAACCTTCCAGCCACAGGCACAGAGCCACCACTCCACCGTTTATTTATATAATGAGTTATTTGATACTTCTCACAAAGCCTAAAACTCCTATCATTAAGACACTAAGCCACTGTGGGGCTGTAGTAATTGCATGTGTGCTTAAGTCTTGAATCATTCGTTACTTTATTTGTGATTTTTGTTTTGCTATAGATGTTTCTTGTGGCTGTGATTAATTCACAATTTCCTATATATACTGTATGTACCTGAAACCATTACCACCCCCCTGGTATAGAGATATTTATGTATAAGTTGATATGATTTCTTTCTCCCTTTGGGGTAATGACAAGTAACATTATACACAGTCAACATCAAAAGTATTTTAAATTATAATTCATCTTTCCTCTGAAGCATTTTTGAAAAATGCATGTGATTCAATGATGTGCTTTCTCATGTGAATTGCACATTCAATAAACATTACAGACAGTGCAAAACAACAAACGGTTCTTGTATTAGATTGGATCCTAGTTCAACAAATATACCATGCATCTGGACATTGTCTTGATAAATTACATGACTGAGTGGTTAGTGACCCACATTTTATAATTCAATTTTTATAAAACCCAAGTGCAAACATGTCAGCAGAAGCAGATGTTTTACTGCACTAATTATATAAGCTGAGAGGCTAGTGAATCATGAGATCTTTGAGACAACAATGCATTTAAATAATATTAATGTCAATTATAAATGCATTTTAAGAAACATACCTTTCCACTAGTTGTTAGAAGAAGAAAAAAATAGGGAAAAGGTGTGTTCTGGCACTGCTGCTGTTGTCAAGTGAAAATTAATTGTATGAGAACCTACAGTAATTCCCTTCAATAATCTTCAATAATTAAGTCTATCATCATATCATGCAATAGACTGTTGTAAAAAACGGACAAAAAATTGACATTAATTTACCGTCATCTTGAAGTGTATTAGTTTTATTATATCTTCCAGGAATTATTCATACATACCGGTTTTTATTAGCATCTCTGTCTACAAGAGTACCAGAAGCCCATTAGGCTTCGCCATGAAAGAGCGGATCTTCTTTATTTTTATTTCCATTTCAGTCTTTATTAACGTCAAAAAGATTTTCTCAGAAGGAATCAGTCACCTTTTCACATCGATTCATTAAATTCACAAAAATGTGGATACCCTTCCATGTGCATGCCACAGGCTCCAGAAGTTTTTTTTTCACTTTTCTCAATTGAAAGTGCATTAACGAACTGAGCTAAACTGAACTGGCGCTTTACAACCACAGAACCTTCGATGGTTCTTGGCCATATTGTAGGACAAGCATGCAGCATCTTTCTTTTTGCATATGCTTTTCAAAAGCGGCCTCAGGAGGCTCCGGTTGATGACAATGGCTTAAGTCAAAATCAAATGACAACATCGCTGTACAAGCTGAAATGCATTATACACATAAAAAAATTAGAAATACAGCTGGCTGCAGACTTGTTCCACGAAAGCCAGATGACTCTTTCAGTGACAAGACAGGGCTTAGCAGCTGCATGAAGCAAGAGCTCCCTGCTCTCACGTCAGCAGTTAGTGTGCTGTGGGAGCCGTGTTGACAAGTAAGCAAAGGTCATTTTCACCAAAGAAACACGGGATTGTGGGATATTGAAGTGCCTCTACGATTTGCATTTCCCGGACTGCAGAATCAATAGCGATGACTAATACGGGGCTGTCATCTCTCTGAAAGGCTAGAAAAATCGTTGCTGGCCGTGTTTCTGTCTTTTGGGCAATGGAGGGCAATTCAATTATGGAGCCTGCTGTGGAATCACCATAGTTTCTAAGCAAGTGAGTGTGGTCTCAGGGTGTCACCTTGATGACTTTCAAATCTCAACACAAATGTCAAAGCTTTCAAATGTACTCCCACTGGTACTTTGCATTCCATCTCTGTAGTGCATTGACTTGTCCAAAATCCCCTAAAAACAAAACCCTTTACTGGAGAAGCTACTTCAATCCCATAAGTACGCTAAGCTATATTTGGTAAACTGGTAAACAACTCCAGTCTTTACAGCAGTAGGACATGCAGCTTTTAATCTCAGGGTTCGTCTAATTGTTCATTAAAGCAAATAAAGTACCTTACTGAATCCCTCTATCATCGTTGAAGGCCATAACCAAGTTTCACAAAGAAGGCTGTGCTCTTTCACGGTTGTTGATCTTTACCAAGGATGACAATGTTCATGGATGTTTATAAAGGGATAATCTTATTTACAGCGTGAAGAATGTCACGATGAGGATGCAGTAAAAAAAAGGTGAATTTCTTTCTGTTCACTCAGTAGCTCAGTAGAGTTTGCGTTATCTTCTGAGGCAAGCGGCCAACAAGACGATCACATTTCTTATAGTGTTAACATAAGTGTTAAGTTTCCTTTCTAATCATTGGCCTTAAGCATTGTGATACGTTGGTACCTCTCTTGGAAATGAATACCAGTTGATCTGAAGAATCCTGAAACCTTCAGAGCTTGAACAAATGGGTTAGGAGGACACTGTCCTTAAGCACAATAAAGCACAATAACAGAGTTTCAATTAATGGACACTTTAAGATGCTATTGGAGTAGACATCTTAATTGCTCTTGGAAGATGGTTCCTAGCCATCTGTAAATACCTCTCCCCCTTCCACCTGGGCTTTGTGTTAACCTCCCTTTTTTCAGGAGAATAATGAAATATATTGCCAGCCTTTTCTGTGGGGTCGTGAATGGGTCAGGTTTTTTTTGTTAACACTGAAGAACCCCTGTCTTATCTATATACCAAAAATGCATGATACAACAACATGAGTAATCCTTTCCAAACATTTGCGCAAATGACATTACAGGAACGACAATGTGCGTAATGATTCCTACAGAAACTACACATGCTTTCAGAGCAGGACTCTCCGGGTAGAGAGAAGTCAGGTGAAAACAATGGAAGGCACTATTAAGGACCTGAATGTTGACAAGGGCTTTCTGCACATGCAGTTCAGAAACAGTGGTCCTGGTACGTTCATGTGAAATTTGATTTTGCTATGTGATTTCTATGCATGTATGTTATCATGCATACAGTATATCCTGAGAATTGTGTGGTGTTTCTGAGGTCAAGACTATGTTTTCTTAGCCTAGTTCATGTAAAGCATTGCTGGTTTTGTCAACGCTATGACACTATCAAATATACAGCATTTTGAAACCATAGAGAATGAAAACTAGCGTAAGTAAATCACACTTAAGATCATAATTTATCTGATGTGATAAATTAACAAAAGAGGAGACTGTATTATCTAAAATAAATATATCTGCTAAAATAAATATAGGTATAGGGCATGACTTTTAAACCCTTGATTTCTTTAATTAAAGTAAAATGTGTTGACAACTCAGTCTTTCTTAGCATTCAAGGCAGTTTCAAATACATCTCATGCAATCATAATGGTGCTCTGTTTTCCTCTCTATAATGTTGATCAGTTGAAAATCTATGCCTTAGGCTCTCAGCCATGTCCTGTGAATAAGAGCACTGAAGCATGTCTAGATATAAAAAGAAATTCTAGTACCATTATAAATCAATAGGCTGTACTGAACTGGACTAATAGTTTCATTTTGAAACCCTCCTGCAGTTTTGCCTTAAGCCCTAACTGGGTTGCTTATCATTTTTATCCTATTTTAATATATGCCTTTAGAGTTTTATAAATATGGAAGTGTCCTGCCTTGCATCATGTGTCTTTCCAGGATAGACTCCTCTAGTTTCCTATTACTTTCCCAAAACATGAGAGGC